GGCTTCAAAGCCTGTTCCCTGTGCTAGACGCTTACTCTGCTGATAAAACTTCTTGCTGTAGCTGAAGAAAGGACCTAACATTGAGTAAAAGGCGTTGGGGGTTAACTGACACTGACCCAGAACTCCAAATGAGTGCCCAAACCAGTGGGCAGTACACCGTAGATGAAAAGATGGTTCACTAAGATCTCTGCCTGCTCTCCAGCTTTGTCACAGGTTTCACACTCCTGCAGCAAGCGACCAGCCCTTCCTGGCCTCATCCCTATGTAGTCTGCTGCATGGATGCGTTGGGTTTGTGCAGATGCCTGGTGTGACACTCTCTTGGCTCCAGTGGCTCCCAAAGCACTACCACACAGTGAACAACAAGGAAGAGCTGCTCTGACTGCAGTTCTCAGGAGTCCATGGTTCTGTCCCAAGAGTTCAATAGGGGTTGGTTGGCTCTGACACTGTGCTGACAAGTAGTGACTGTCTCATTTGGTGTTCTCAGGAGCTGGTCAGGAACCAAAGCTGAGAGGAAGCAGCCAATAGAAGATGCAAAGCCCTGAGGGAAACCCATACTTGCAGAGTGTCCCAGCAGCTGTGGGCAACGGGAGGCTGCCTGCTGCTGAACACTCATCTGCAGCTGGTGAGGAGAGGCACATGGTTTTTAACTTGCTGGTGACACCAAGTTGGGATGTCCTTGAGAAACAGCCTAAAATAAGGGGATCAACTTTAATAGGCAAAGTTCTACATGTTGGGCATGGGCTAAACCACCTCCCGGGGACAGCGTGGGCATGACTGGCTGTGGAGTTATCTCCAGATGGAACATGGAGGGGTTGTAAAGCTGGAAATGTCTGAACTGATGACAACAGCACGCATCAGCAGGTACAGCGTTTTAAACAGCCAAAGAGGCCAGGAACATTAAAATAAAACCAGCTATTTTGAAAGGCATGGGAGGAGTGTGAAACAGCCCCTCTTCAGCTGAACTGTGTTGGGAATGATGCAACAGCTGGGCTGGAAAACAAACCCAGTGGTGGTGTGTTTGTGTCTTCCCCAGAGAATGAAGCGTCATCCTGCCCTTATCCTGCTGCTCTCAGGTCATCCAGGGCTGAAGCACGGAGTGCCTGGTTTAGGATGGGGAAAAGGTGTGAGGAAGAAAGTCCACCAGCAGATATAAAGCAAGCTCTACGGGTTTTGTGGCACTTAGCAGCTGGGGAAAAAAAAAGGAAAGCAATGTGCCTTGTTGTTCTCTCATGCACAGAGCGAGCCCTCAGGGACCGGGTTTTACCTGCCAAGGAAAAGGGCTGATGCTTCCTGGTGATGCTCTTCCAAAGGGAGTGTTTTCCCAGAGCCCTGCAGCCCAGCAGGAAGCCCCAGTGGGAGCAGCAATCCCAGGCACTGCTGGGGATCTGCTGGGGCTGGGTTCGGCTGCAAGGAGCTGTCCTTCCTCAGGCAGCCCTTGTGAGGCAGGAGTGTGGGGAGCTGAGTGTGTGCCAGCCCTGTCAGGGGGGACTCCTGCTCAGCCTGGGGGCTGAGGGCATCCTGGCACCACTGGGATTGAGACTCCCAGGTCCTGGGGGAGTGAGGCGGGTCCTGAAGCACTGAAGGGGTCAGAGTCCAAGGAACCTGTGAATGATCCATAGAATCACAGGATCCCAGACTGGTTTGGGTTGGAAGGGACCTTAAAGCTCATCCAGTTCCAACCCCCTGCCACAGGCAGGGACACCTTCCACTAGAGCAGGTTGCTCCAAGCCCCTGTGTCCAACCTGGCCTTGAACACTGCCAGGGATGGGGCAGCCACAGCTTCTCTGGGCACCCTGTGCCAGCGCCTCAGCACCCTCACAGGGAAGAGCTTCTGCCTGATGTCTAACATGAACTTCCCCTGTTTAAGTTTTAACCCATTTCCCCTTGTCCTGTCACTACAGTCCCTAATGAAGAGTCCCTCCCCAGCATCCCTATAGGCCCCCTTCAGATACTGGAAGGCTGCTGTGAGGTCTCCACGCAGCCTTCTCTTCTCCAGGCTGAACAGCCCCAACTTTCTCAGCCTGCCCTCATACGGGAGCTGCTCCAGCCCCTGAGCATCCTCGTGGCTTCCTCCGGGCTTGCTCCAACACCTCCATGTCCTTCCCATGTCCATCCCTGGTACTCCAAGCTCCCCGCCAGCACCCGCCACGAACCCGCGGGTCTGGGCGGGCTCCCCGGCGGCCCCGGCAGGGGGCGGTAGAGTGCGCCCTGCCCGCCCCCCGCAGCCGCGAGGGCTGCGTCCCTTCCCGCTTCGGGTGTCCCCGGCGCTCGGGGATGACGTCAGGAGGCGGTGCGGAGCCGCTGGCCGCAGCGGGCGGAGGTGAGTTTGGGGGGGCCGCCGCCCCAGCTCAGGGGGACAGCATCGGCCTTGTCCGTCCCTGCCTGCTCCTGCCTTGCTGCCGGGGTGCTGTCGGCTCGGCCTCGCGGTGCAGCAGCGGTGCGGCCCGGAGGGCGCGGGCGCGCCGGGCCCCGGCGGCTCAGCCCTGCCGCTGCCTGAGGTGCTGGGCGGGTCAGGGAGGGCGCCCTGACCACTGGGCCGGGCGGGAGCGGGCGCGGTGCTTCCAGGCCTGGAGCCGAGCCTGCCGCGAGAGGAGCCACCGGCCCGGTGCTGGGTCCCCTCGCTGGAGGGGATGGGGAAAACCGGCGTGGTTCGGGATGAGTTATGAACAATAGTCATAGAATCATGGGTGGTCTGGCCGACTCCGGCCTGCGCCAGCTCCAGCATCGCAGGCTGCAGTGCTGCAGCAGCCCCAGCCCCGGATTTCCCTGTCAGCCAAGCAGCTGCTCACACCAGGTTCATGTCAGGCAGTAAGGAGCACGGTTAAGGTTTATTAGTAACGCTAAAGGTAAGGTGCTGTGTGCGAGCATCTCGTAACGCAGTTAAGAGTTGGTGTCTTAAAATTTCCTCTGTGGCAGCTCGTAGAAAAGCTAAGTTAAATCACTTCACCTTGTCAGATAACCTGGTTACTGGTGGAAGGCCCACTCAGCCTAGGGTGGGTTAGTCAGTGCCTGACACCCCTTACCACAGGGCCACCTCCAGGAATTCAGAGCTGAAGGAGGCTTCTGGATCAGTAACAGGTGAGGTGCTGCCCTGCTGAGCTGTGGGATGCGATGTGCTGGTGGTGCTAAGGAGAGGAGTGTGTGGACACTGAAGCATAAACCCCATATTCCTTCTCACATCTGCAGCTTGGGCATGGTGTCCTCTCCCATATCTTGGCACCTGTCAAGTATTTGATGTCCTGCTTGGATAGGGCTTGGGATGTTCCATTTCTCCAGTACTTTTGTTCCTTCCTCCAAATGGCTGGTGATTATTATACAGGAGCATTTCCACAAGCACTGACACGGACTTCAGTATTTTGTTGCTGGCTGTGGCATGATTCTTTTGGCTTCACAGAGATGCTTACACATACAAGGGAGAGCCACAGACATACTGGTAGTTGCTGCCTTATCTCAGTTAATGTTATTACTGGATTTATATATGATGTTTTCAAGCTCAGCATTTGATCCTTCTTCTTGGTTTTATTTACAAATGGGACATTTTATAGGAATGCTTCTCTACGAGTGGAATTACTCTGTAATAATCTGTTTCTGGATGCTCTCATTTGATTTCTCTGTTAACTTAATCTGTTTCAAGGTACAACAATGCTGGGAAGAGCTCTCAGTGGGAGGCATTATTCAGGGCTAGCTGTAGTTCTTGATTTCTTTATTGGCATGGTACTTGAATCTGAATGAGCACCCAGTTACAGGACGGTGCTTGGTGAAAGTCAGCTGAGCTTTCTGTGAAGTTGGTTTTTATTTCTACTCCATTGTTCGTGCATGTTTAACTTCCATGAGGAGTTACTTTGATGATGTCTGATTTTAAAACTTAATCTTAACAAAGCTTTGTTTTCCTTCCAGATTGGATGTAGAGATTAAGCTTCTTCCAGGCATCCCTCTAAAACGTGTATTTCTCCATGTAATCCTCCTGATGGAAGACCAGCTGGGGTTTCCTTCCTGCTGTTCAAGCTGACTGGCTGCTTGGAGAGGTGGTGAATGGCGAACATATTCTTGGTGATGGCAAGTCCTACAATTACATTTCAAGTCTAACGACATCTCCATAGCCTTCTGTGAATGCTCAGGCACCATATTCCTGGGATCTAAGCCAAAGAGCGGAATTTAAATCTGCCTGGCTAACTGCCACAGCACAGACAGGCAGTTTCTCCATCTCCTAAACCAGTCATATTGTTTTAATCAAGACTTGCTGAAGTCCATCTGATTTGGTTCTGTTGGAATACAGTGTGGTGAGCAAGACCTCCTCCTAGTCTGGAACAGCTGGTAGAAATTCCACTTGCACTTCCTACATGCATCCCCATATGGAGAACCAGAAGTGAAGCAAAACTAAGTCTAGAATCATAGAATGGTTTGGGTTGGAAGGGACTTTAAAGCTCATCAAGTTCAAATCCCCTGCCACAGGCAGGGACACCTTCCACTAGACCAGGCTGTTCCAAGCCCTGTCCAACCTGGCCTTGAACACTGCCAGGGATGGGGCAGCCACAGCTTCTCTGGGCACCCTGTGCCAGGGCCTCAGCACCCTCACAGGGAAGAACTGCCTAAGAGCTCATCTAAATCTACTGTATTTCAGTTTAAAACCATTTCCCCTTGTCTTGTGATTAAATGCTCTTGTGAAAAGCCCCTCTCCAGAATTTAATTATTATTAAGAAGTTGTGCCTGGAGAAGAGGACCTCCAGAGGTCTCTTTCTAGCTCAGCCAGTCTGTAACTCCATGCTTCAGTGCTCAGCTGGGAGCAGTAAACAGGCTGTGCTTTATAAAAAGAGATACTGTGTGATTTCCAGGACTATCTGTTTTGACCATGACTCTGAGTTTACAGGCACTATTACCAGTAGCTTATGAGGAAAGCAGCAGAGCTTTTGTCAGAGTATGTAAGTACTGCAGAGTACTTCACGTGCTCTGCAGTAAAGTACACAGAACATTCCAGACTCCTTGTTTGTGGTATTTATTTGATTTGTTTCATTCTTTTCCTAAGGTTCAGATGTGGAAATTGCCCTGGATGTGGTTGCTGCTGCTGCTCTGGGAAAATGCCTTGATAGGAAATTAACACCATTCAGTGATGGGCTGTGGGACAAGCAAAGTGCTTCCCGAGCCCCCCAGAGATGTGCAGTTAGATCTGGTGAAAAAAGTTGAACCTTACACAGGCCACAGTGAGATATACAAGCATTTCATCAAGGATGACTGCGGGATCAAAGCTGGCTCTCCCTCACCTCCACAGCACGCTAACCCGTACCCTGGGAACCACTTGCCTGCCCACTTGGACCAGCCTGAGCCGCGCAAGAACAAAGTGGCTAAATACCGTGCCAAGTTTGACCCCAGAGTGACAGCAAAGTATGACATTAAAGCCCTGATTGGGAGAGGGAGTTTTAGCCGCGTTGTACGGGTGGAACACAAGGCCACCAAGCAGCCCTACGCCATCAAGATGATAGAGACCAAATACCGGGAGGGGAGGGAAGTGTGTGAGTCGGAGCTTAGTGTGCTACGCCGGGTTCGCCACACCAACATCATCCAGCTGATTGAGGTGTTTGAGACCCAGGACCGTGTGTACATGGTGATGGAATTGGCAACTGGAGGAGAACTGTTTGATCGGATCATTGCTAAGGGCTCCTTCACTGAGAGGGATGCTACACGTGTGCTGCAGATGGTGTTGGATGGTGTGAAGTATCTGCATACGCTGGGTATCACGCACCGGGACTTAAAGCCAGAGAATCTGCTGTATTACCATCCAGGAACAGATTCCAAAATCATGATTACAGACTTTGGGCTGGCAAGTGCTCGGAAGAAGGGAGATGACTGCCTGATGAAAACCACATGTGGGACCCCAGAGTACATTGCTCCTGAGATCCTGGTCAGGAAGCCATACACGAACTCTGTGGATATGTGGGCACTGGGTGTCATCTCCTACATTCTCCTCAGTGGCACTATGCCCTTTGAAGATGACAACCGCACCCGCTTGTATCGGCAGATCCTGAAAGGAAAATACAGTTACTCAGGCGAGGTGAGTGTGCCAGGGGTTATGGTGAGGGGAAGGCGAGCAAGAAGGTCTTCGTAGATGTTTCTTTGTGATGACCAGAACCTGGCTGTTGTGTGCAAGGTGGTAACATCACCAGGGTTGAAAAAAAAGTCTGTGATTCTGGTTTTTAAAATCCTTTTCTGTTTTCTCTCTGCTTTCCAAAACCGCTTCCAGTGCAGCATAGAGAGCTCCTTTTAAAAATGTGTGTGTAAAGAAACAAGAGGTCTCTTCCTGTAGAAGAGCACGGGGGTTCTTGTGGGTTTCTAGCTGGGGAGACCTCAGATGTGGTAAGCTGCTGCTTGATACTTTGCTGTTGAAACTTGTGCCAGGGTGAGTGTTTGCAGTGTAGTGTGTACATACCTTGTCTGATTTCTGATACAAATCCAAGTATAGTCTGAAAAACACCTTTATGGCAGACAAAGTGTCACTTGCTTCTACATCTGGAGACATTAGCATTTCTGAAATCAATTTGCATTGTGTCCTGATCTGAGTGTGTGACAAACTGGAGGATTAAAGGGTAGTTTTCTTAAATAACTATGAAAGGAGGAACCTTGGGAGGTAGATTTTAGGCAGAAGCTACATGCCTCTACCGTCCTAGAGTCCCATTACTCCACCATTGCCACAGCTCTTGCAGACTTTCTTCTGGTCATGATGGGAGTTCTCAGCTATCAGCCACCTCCTTTACCAGCACAATTGCCAAGTATATGCGTAACCTCACTGAAAATCACACACTAGAAAGTGGGGGCATCCAGATTTGCAAATTGTGCTTCTGCCTATATCCCTCACTGCAAGACTTAAAAATTTAGCTTTTTAAGCTCTAATAAGAGGGGAAAGTGCTTAGGTTTCTGCACACCATGACCTTGTGAGAGGAAGCCTACTGGGGAAGTGTTAATGAGTGTCTGAGTTTGTGATTCTGAAGTGACAGTAAGACAACTGTCAAAAACCCAGAATAAATTAATGATTGCTCTCATAAGCTTAGTTGTGACAGGTATATTGGCATTTTACTGATGTATGGAAGGACTCTTAACATGTTAAGGCTTAAACATGTTAAGCTGCTTTAGGATTGTGGTTTTTTTAAAAATGAATCACTCTCTGCAGGGTTTTCAGAGGTGTCACAAAGTCTTTTCTGCTTCAAAGCTGTCGCGCCAGCTTGTGTTAATAGATGGAATATCCAGTTACATGAAACTGAGGAATATTGGCATTAGCATAGGAGGCCACTGAGGGAAGCCCAGATTTGACACCTCTGTGAGTTTTGTTATTTCTTCCTGTGAGCCCTCCTCAGAAAGTCCCTGTGTGTGCAGAAGAGGCACAAAAGTGAGGAGTCATAAAACCCCAAATTTGTTACTTTCTGGACCAAATGCATTCCTTTCTTCAGGAACTGCAGTACTTGATTCATTCCTTGCCAAAAGTATTCTATCAGCTGCTTCCTTGAACTCCCAGGAACTGCTTACTTGCTTCCTTGAACTCTAAGCTTCTGCTGACTTTGGCAGCCTTTGCTGCTTGGTTAATTTGGTTAATAGGATTTGTTAACCAGTTGCAGAGTTTTGTAGATGCAGTCGGGTTGCCCTAATGCAGAAACAGATGAATTACCAGCCACACATAACATCTGCAGGGTCACACTGAAAGACAAAGTCCTGTTTACTGTATAACCAGCGGTGGCAAATCTGTTGTGAGCGATCTGGTCTCGTGTAAGGTGTCCCTGCCTGTGTCAGGGGGTTGGAACTGGGTGAGCGCTAAGGTCCCTTCCAGCACAAACCAGTCTGCGATTCCATGATTCCAGGGCCTGTTCTGCCTGTTATTGCAAAATGTGGTAATTCTGGAGTCTTAGAAGCAAGCGGTGGCATACAGGTTTGGCACCTAGTAAGTTATGCTGATGTGAGCTGCTAAGGTTAAAAACAAAGCTGAGGAAGTAGTGAGAGACCGTATGATAAATCAGCTGATGTTTGGTGTGGACAAACTTGAACTGGTCCCATGGGAAGATTGGGACAGTTTGCATTTTCTGTAAATGATGGTGAGCCTTGAAGGTGCTTCTTGCTCTTCGGAAGAAACAGTCTGAGATTAAGCACCTCCAAATATCATCTTGATACTCATGATCAAAAGCCATCTCATGTTAGGAGTTAGTGTTATTGTTGCAGGTATCCTTGCTGTGCCATGGAATGCAGTTCTGTTTCCTCTGGAGAATAAAACACAGGATTGAAAAGCACACGAGGAACGGTAGTGTAAATAATCAAAGGTATGGGCTGTCTTCCATTTGAAGAAAGAGTGAACAGATGAGGGCTTTTCCTTCAGAAAACTCAGTGAGGGGGCAGTCTGACCAAACTCAGTACAGCCCCAGGCAGAACAGGGAGAGTGAACAGAGAAGCAACTGTTTTGAGTGTCCCCTGGGGTAACTCTATTTGATGTTCTCTGGTCCTTGTGCCAGAACTGAAATTACCTTGAGAAATTTAATGACTTCATTGCAACTAGGCCGCTGGATGCTTGTAGGCTAAGTGCATTGCTGTATAGATACAGAATACATGTGTGTGTGTTTATATAGTGTACATATATTGTGTATATACAAAGGCAGCACATGTGCCACAGCAAAAACATTAGACTGTATGTTTAGAAAGTGCCTGTGCACAAGCCTGAAGCATTTTACTTGTTATCCCACCACAAATTACATACTTCAGGAAGCTGTTACAGATACTGTATATGACATGAGTGGTTGTTTTGGAAAGCTGTAGATGTTTTACTGCTTGGAAAGCAAATACGTGTCAGCCAGTAGCCAGTATCTTTTGCCCAGATGCTTTCTGTTCTTCTGGAGCCAGGAAAATTAATGCTTTAATTTTCCAGTGTAATTAAACATGTGCCTGTAAATTGCAGGCATGTTCAACTCTACCCAGGTATTGGCAGGAGATGCAGTAGCGGGCTGCTCACTTTGTGGATCAATTTTAGGTGAAAACAAAGTGAGCCAGCGATTTAGAGGAGCCTGGCCTGTTTCCCATGGCATCTTAAAGCCATCTTCTGGAGTTATAAATGCTTCCAAATTCCTGATGTTTACAAAAAATTGCTGCATTTTTTTTTTTTTTTTTTAGTGTGTTCCACTGTAAGAAGTGGAAAGATGTCAGAAATGAGGCTATTGATAAATTCATCGCAGTAATGGCAGTGGCAGGATCTGTAAGTCCTGGTTTATTTGGAACAAGAATGGGCAGAAAAACTGACTGCATTGCAGAAGCAGAGATTTCATGGGGACTGCTGCTTTTCTTCTCTGTAATGTGAACTTTAAAGATGTGAAACGGAACAGGAAATGTTAAAAGGAGTCTGCGAAGTGCCCAGAGCTGACAGCCTGAATTGTGAGGCTCAGGCCAGGTTTCAGTAGGGAAGAAGGGAGCTATCTTCCCAGCAGTGCTGCTATACCCTGTCACACAGCAGCAGTGCCCTGAGTTTGCCAAGAATCAACTCCAAGCCCCACTTCTTGAAAGGTCTGGCATCAATACCTGCTCAGAGAGGACAAAGCTGTATTGAGAGAGGAACAAAAGCCAAGGTGCATGCTGACCTGAGAAGTACCTCCATGTGCCTGAAAAACAAGTGAGCTCATGGCCAGCTAATGTAATTGCTTTCTGACTGGGACCCTCTTACCACCACTCTCCTGTTCCTGGAGTGTGAAGTCCGTTTGAAGAGGCTGTTAGCAGATCAGTAAGAGAGATCTCCCATAATAGGTTATTCAGGTACCGCTGACATCAGTGTTCTGATTCTCTTGCATCTCCTTATGTACATTCTGAGGTGCTTCAAGTAATGGGTAGGGTGAGGAGTGAAGAAAAGGTTGGCTTTGTAACTTGGCATGTTTTTTTCCTGAACATTTCTGAGTAAGGGTTATGTGGGGTATTGAGACTGTGTTTGATGTAGCCTCCTACAAAGTCACTTGTTTTGTTAGAACGCACCAAAAAGAACATTTGGCAATATTTTAATTGAAATCTTGGGGATAAAACTGATTTCTGGGATCTCTTTGTAGCTTAAGAAATTGTCTGAGGAATAAAGCTGGAATTCAATTCACAGTTCCCTTTGAGTTTGAAAGTGCAGAGATGAACATTGGACCACCATTATCCTGACAGGCTTGCTGTGGTTTTGTTTCAAAGCTTGTCCTTCTTTTGAATACTGGATGCTTTTATGTTGCTTTACACACCTGGGAAACTTGCTGAAGAAGTGGAAGTTGATACATGCTATGGTTAAATTGGGAAACTGAGCTGGGGCGTATGGATTGTTCTGGTTTTAATACATTAACTGGGCAGATATTTTCCCCCTGTGGTCTGTTTTGCTGTTCATAAACCAGAATCACCTTTTTGTGGTACGTTCACTGTGAGTGAGGTTGGTGTGTGATGGTGTGGGAACATCTCTCAATCAAACAACCAAAAAGCTTATTCTAAATATTGGTGATAGTGGAGACATGGATAAATGGGATATAAGGTGAGGCATGTGGGATAAATGAAGGAAGCTGAGCATTTCAAGTCTGTAGGATCTCTGCTATGCAGACAGGTGATCTGGCTTATGTGGCTTGCTTAGATTTTCCAGTGGTGTTTAATAAAGTTCGTCACCAAAGACGCTTGACAGAATTTTGCATCTGTAACACAACAGCAGCCTTTGCATGGACCAGCAGTTTGCTGGAGATAAGCACAAAGCTGAAATACGTGGTCTGTCCACAGGGAAGGGAGAAAGAAACAGTGAAGTCTGAACAATCTGTTCCCTTTTGCCCAGAACTTTAAGGAGAACGTTTGCTAAAAGGGTGTACAGTCACTGATGACAGACATCTTCAAATGGAAAAAGGAAGAGCTGTGGATTTTAGAAGTTTTGCTTGAGTTTGAAGAGCAGCTGGACCAATTCATGGAAGATAAATCAGTGGAGAGAATGACACTAAGAAGTCCCAAGAATGGATAAAGAGGTGTTGAAGCCACAAATTTTTGAGAGTTGAGAATATAGGGGGAGAATTTTAATTGCAGTACATGGGTTGT